TCTCCTTGTTCAGCTGTGCCCTGGCTCTCACCAAAGATCTGTAGCCTTACCCACCTGCCTGACACCTCCCACTCCTCCCCATTCCCTGCTGCTTTTCCTCCTTAGCACAGGGCACCATTTACATGCCTTCTGTGTTATTCACTCCTTGTTTCTTACCTGTCTTCCAATGATGAAGTGTATCTACCTTGAGAGTAGCGGGACTGCACAGTTGGACTTAATCAGTGCCTGTGAGCCAGTGTTCACACAGGAAGGAACTAACCCATCCTTTGAAATCCCTGAGTCCCTGGGCTGAGCTCCGCTCATCTCCAGACTCCACTTCGTAGTTGAGGTATTCATTCATTCAAGTATGCATAACTTTGGGCAAAGTACTGGATCTCGCTGTGTGCCTCAGTTTCCTCATCTGTCAATCTAGGATGCTAAGAACACCCTTCTAGGGTAAGGATGAGGAATATATGAATTTGTATATGCTAAGTACTCAGAATAGCACCTACCCCGACTAATAGCTAGTGAATGCCTGCCCCAGATCAGGAGCAAGAGTTCAGAAGTTACTCAAATGCCCACCTTTGTGAATGGGTTGGGGCCTCTCCTGACACACACACAAGCCCTGTGTATTCCCAGCAGGGCACCTCTGGAGTGTCTCTGGAGGTATGTCCCATTTGCCCCTAGCAGAGAGAAGCAGAGTATGCTGTGAAGCTTCTGCTGGAACAGCTTGGCAGTCTTCCTAGTCCAGCCCTCACCCTCTGCCTCCCTCCTAGGGGCAACTCCAAGTACCATTACTACGGCCTGCGCATCAAGGCTAGCTCGCCCCTGCTGCGACTAATGGAGGACCAGCAGCATATGGCCATGCGGGGCCAGCCCTTCTCACAGAAGCAGAGGTAGGAGGGGCCAGACCTCCATGCTGGCAACACGGGGAAAACATGCTAGTCTGTCCCCACCCAACCACCCAACTCCTTCTCCAGGCTCAAACCGATCCAGAAAATGGAGGGCATGACCAACGGTGTGGCTGTGGGGCCACAGCAGGCCACTGGACTTTCAGACATCAGTGCGCAGGTCCAGCAGTACCAGCAGTTCCTGGGTGAGAGCTGGCTAAAGGGTCAGGACCGGGAGGGGTCTGTGCTGCTCAGAGAGCCACGTTAACTGATGTGCTTACAAGGCAGGTGGCAGGCAGCCTCTCACAAGAGCAGAGAAATGACATCAGTCATCACCATCTCCTTCTGAGAGAGGAATTGAGTCCATAGAAACCCTCTCTCAGGTGGAGTCTGTTCATTTCAAGGGGAAGTATTTCTGTATGCTCCTGCATCTTCTAGTTTAGTCCCACTTAGGTTACATGGGATTTCAGATTGCCTACAGACAGGCAATAGTATGGCCCGTGACCTTATGGGCAGGCGCGTGGTCCCAGTCGTGGGTGCTCCCTAGTCTACAGCTGTGGCATCCGTTGTGTTAGGGTGCCTTACCAAGGAGGCAGGCAGACATACAGAATCCATTGTTTCTAGATGTATTAAGTAAAGCAAACACCACTCAGTGAAGAGGAGGCAGTGCTGTGTAAATTAGCGAACCCCAAGAACTCAACACATCCAGGCAACGTGTCCAGCATGACAACACTGCTCACAAGACCCAGACACCCCTCAGGGGTTATGGTTAGGAATTGATACCCCTCATAGTTGCCTCAGAGTGACTGTCCCTGGCTAGCTCCTCAGTGCAGAGCCTTCAAGCCCAGGGCAGAGTCGGTTTGGGATTGGGGTGGTGGGGCATCAACACAATCTGCCCTCATTCTCACCTCCAGGGGCTATCCCAGGGTCATCAGTTAGCTGGTAGTTCCTCTTGGGCTCTAGGGTCTTTGCCCTGTGACTTCCTGGCTCTGGGCCCTCCTTGAGCCTCATCATCCCCCACTGTCCATAGGGAACCCCTGTTTGGTAGATAAGTGGTGAAGGCTTAATAGGAACCTGGGGCGAGATTTGAAGGAGCAAAGGGCCTTATGGGGTCCCCTCCTCCCCTAGATGCCTCCAGGAGCCTCCCCGATTTCTCAGAGCTCGACCTCCAGGGCAAGGTACTACCTGAGGGCGTGGGGCCCGGGGACATCAAGGCTTTCCAGGTCCTGTACCGGGAACACTGTGAGGTAGGGCAGCTGGTTGGGTGGGTGGCTGGGTAGGGCAAGCACCCAGTCCGGACTCTCTGAGCTTGTGGTCTCTTCCCCAGGCCATCATTGACGTCATGGTGAACCTGCAGTTCACCCTGGTGGAAACCCTGTGGAAAACCTTCTGGAGGTACAACCTCAGCCAGCCCAGCGAGGCACCGCCGCTGGCTGTGTGAGTCCTGAGGGGCAAGGAGGGCACCACCATGTGGGTCAGTACCCCGGACTGGGGTGGCCAGCCCTCAGTTACTCTAAGGAATAGGGTTACCTGCCTGACCCCTGTGGCTTGTAGGATACTTTAGCCTGTGCCCCTCAGTGTGCAGGGTAAAAGATACCCATCTTGCCCTAGAGACCCCCAGTGGGGCCCATGTCAGTCTGAACTTTGCCAAGAAGTGGGAGGGGGGGGCAGGCAATTATTTGCCTACCCCAGGGTGGGGTTGAGGGTGTTGCTGCACCCTTCCAGTCCTGGATGCAGGGCCATCAAGTGTCTAAATGATTTTGGGGTGGGTGGGTGCCCACAGGCATGATGAGGCGGAGAAGCGGCTGCCCAAGGCCAGCCTGGTGCTGCTTTCCAAGTTTGAGCCTGTGCTTCAATGGACCAAGCACTGTGACAACGTGTTGTACCAGGGCCTGGTGGAAATCCTCATCCCTGACGTGCTACGGCCCATCCCCAGTGAGTGCCATGTCCCACCTCCAGCCCACAAAGTCCCACCCTGACCCCCGGCCCTAATCAGCCCCCCTGTTCCCCCTACAGGTGCCTTGACTCAAGCAATTCGAAACTTTGCCAAGAGCCTAGAGAGTTGGCTCACCCACGCCATGGTCAATATTCCTGAGGAGATGCTTCGGGTGAAGGTGAGGGTGTGAGAGGGTGGGCAGAGGCTAGCAAGGCTGGGGCCTCCTTCTCTGCCCCATGGAGTCAGTGACATCTGTCCTGGGTGGCATGGCCTCTCTGAGCCAGATGTTGGGCCTTTACGAGCCAGCCTTCTCCAGGGCCCACTGAAACCTGAACCTGATATAGTATTTTTGTACTCAACACAGCGTTTTAAACAAATAAAGTGAAATGCAAACTTGAAGTAGTTCTCTTCAGACAGCCTCGACAGAAAGTGCACCAGGTGTTCAGAAACAAAACCAAACAGCAGAGCAGCACCTAGGAGAAAACAGTCTCTTCATTGGTTGTACACATTCACTAAATGCTTAGATGTGAGGAGTTGGGACGTACTTGCTCTTGGGCAAAATAAAGAAAAGGAAAAAGTTTCCCTTTTTAGGCCTTAAAATGCTCACAAGACAGCTAAACAGAACTGGGTTTCTGGAGATTCACCAGAAGGGTGAGCTAGGTGAGCACGGGTGGGTGGGCCCTGCGCGGACAGGAGAAGCCAGATATAGAGGGATGCACTTAAGGCCTGGCAACTTAGTGTGCCCACCACGGTTCTCCTTTCTAAAGCACAGCCCCGGCCCTGATGAACAAACCCCACTCTCCAGCTGCTGGCATTCAAGAGAATAATTGAAACAAAATGAAACAAGTTTATCCAACCAATGCTTGTCCCTGCCAGGCAGTGTCCTCTGAGATTGTTGTGCCCATTCATTAACAACAAGAATGGTCAGAGAATTCACTCATTTTATGATCCAAACTCTGGGTGGGTGGATGCCAAACAGCCCAAGAACTTTGATCGCTGGATCTCCCAAAAAAAGCATGGAGGCACAGCACTCCCCTTTTAGAGACTGCAAACATATCTGTGAGTCTGCCGCCCTGGGATGGGGCCGGCAGATGTGGGCCCTGTGGAATCCATAGTCCCGGTCCTGCAGGTGGCTGCGGCTGGCGCCTTTGCACAGACGCTGCGGCGCTACACCTCGCTGAACCACCTGGCGCAGGCGGCCCGTGCTGTGCTGCAGAACACGGCGCAGATCAACCAGATGCTAAGCGACCTCAACCGTGTGGACTTCGCCAACGTGCAGGTGAGCACAGGGCAGGCAGTGGCGTATGGGATAAAGCAGGCCCAGGGCCATGGCTGAGCCCACCCACCTGCTGTGCCTAGGAGCAGGCCTCTTGGGTGTGCCGCTGCGAGGATCGCGTGGTGCAGCGGCTGGAGCAGGACTTCAAGGTGACACTGCAGCAGCAGAACTCACTGGAGCAGTGGGCAGCCTGGCTGGATGGCGTCGTGAGCCAGGTGCTCAAACCTTACCAGGGTAGCGCTGGTTTCCCCAAGGCCGCCAAGCTCTTCCTGCTCAAGTGGTCCTTCTACAGGTGCGAACCGGCTGGGCGGGGCCCAGACAGGGAGGGGCGGGCCCCCGAGGAGGTGAAACTGAGGAGGCCTCACTTCCAGGAGGGCTCGAGTGTCTGTTTGGTAAGGCCGGGGTTTCCTGGCAGTGGGCAGTGTGAGTGTCTTCCGCCCTCAGACACCTCAGAGGAACAGGTGGGCCAGGTGGGGTCGTCAGGGCTGGTTCCAGCTGTGGGGTGTGGTCTTCGCAGAAAGGGGCGAGGGGCGGGACCAGATTTCACAGCCTTCCCTTCTCCCCGCCAATCCCCAGCTCCATGGTGATTCGGGACCTGACCCTTCGCAGCGCGGCCAGCTTCGGCTCCTTCCACCTCATACGGTTGCTCTATGATGAGTACATGTACTATCTAATCGAGCACCGCGTGGCCCAGGCCAAGGGTGAAACCCCCATCGCTGTCATGGGCGAGGTGCGTGCTGCCCGGTAGTGCATGTGGACATGCTGGCGGGCCCTGCGGATGGTCACCACGGGTGGGCAAGATTCTCACCCCTTCTCTCCCTTTTCTTCAGTTTGCAAACCTGGCCACCTCACTGAACCCCCTGGATCCGGACAAAGGTAGGCGAGGCAAATTCCTACCTAGGGCCTGAGTCAAGGGTCGGTGGTAAGGTGGGGTGAGTTGCCAAGAGTAGGGCTGAGGTGGAGGCACTGGTGGGGTTCTGGGGACACCACCGTCCCACGCTGAATAGGGCCCTGGTCCTTGTGCTCCAGATGAAGAGGAGGAAGAGGAGGAGGAGAGCGAGGATGAGCTGCCTCAAGACATTTCGCTGGCGGCTGGTGGCGAGTCGCCTGCGCTGGGCTCCGAGGCCTTAGAGCCACCAGCCAAACTGGCACGGACTGATTCGCGCGGCCTCTTTGTCCAGGCTTTGCCCTCCAGCTA